CGCTCCAAGCATAAGTGACACCAAAACACATCACCACGGAATAATCAGCTCACCAAGTGTTCTCGTCATCTTTAAGTGCCATATTGAGAGGACGTCAGGACTGCGGGAGCCCGTCGCTGCTACGCACCAGCTGCATGCGCGTTGACACTACGAGGAAGACCCTTCGTGACGAGCACCATCCGCGCTTTCGCGAATTTCCGAGAGAAGAATGGCGGCAATACCGTCACCGTCGTCCTCGTCGTCGTCGTCGTCGTCGTCGTCGTCGTCGTCGTCGTCGTCGTCGTCGTCGTCGTCGTCGTCGTCGTCGTCGTCGTCGTCGTCGTCGTCGTCGTCGTCGTCGTCGTCGTCGTCGTCGTCGTCGTCGTCGTCGTCGTCGTCGTCGTCGTCGTCGTCGTCGTCGTCGTCGTCGTCGTCGTCGTCGTCGTCGTCGTCGTCGTCGTCGTCGTCGTCGTCGTCGTCGTCGTCGTCGTCGTCGTCGTCGTCGTCGTCGTCGTCGTCGTCGTCGTCGTCGTCGTCGTCGTCGTCGTCGTCGTCGTCGTCGTCGTCGTCGTCGTCGTCGTCGTCGTCGTCGTCGTCGTCGTCGTCGTCGTCGTCGTCGTCGTCGTCGTCGTCGTCGTCGTCGTCGTCGTCGTCGTCGTCGTCGTCGTCGTCGTCGTCGTCGTCGTCGTCGTCGTCGTCGTCGTCGTCGTCGTCGTCGTCGTCGTCGTCGTCGTCGTCGTCGTCGTCGTCGTCGTCGTCGTCGTCGTCGTCGTCGTCGTCGTCGTCGTCGTCGTCGTCGTCGTCGTCGTCGTCGTCGTTATCGTTGTCGATATTCACGCGATCAGTGACAGAGGCACGAGCGGGACTCGCGACACCACATCGCTCGTACCGCTCGCATGCACTTGCCATTTTTTTTCTTTCTTCTCTATCTCTCTATCTCTCCCCCGTCTCTCTCACTCACTCGCTCCCTCTCTCTATCTCTCCCCCGCCTCTCTCACTCACTCGCTCACTCGCTCCCTCTCTCTCTCTCTCTCTCTCTCACACCCTCGCGCACGCGCGCGCACACACACACACACTCTCTCTCTCTCTCTATATATATATATATATATACACACGCATGTATATACACGCATATATATCTCGAGAAACAGTCAAGCACACCTGCGCCGCTCCCCGGAGACGGACGATGGAACGTGCGCGGGAGTGGCGGAGAATTCAAATATGAGAAGGGCCAAATATCGAAGGGCCAAAAAGGTGTCGGCCACGCTCCGTGCGAGGCCCGAGGCGGGGACTGAGGAGAAGAGGTCAATGGGTGAGAGAGGTGCTTGCCGAACGCGCGAGAGCCTCGTTAAATGATAATTTGACGTTAAGTATCGATCGGTATCGATCTTGGGGTTATTGGGATGGGGCATTGGTCTCGGCGTTTCATCGTACTACCCCTGTGAAAACGTATACAAGTTACATTGAAATAAATGACAGTCAGCGGCGAGCGATAAAATTTACCACAATGATTTTGAAATATCACATTTTAGTACATTGTTGTTATTATCTTGGGCCGAAGAAATATCAAATTATCGTTTAAAGTGCGAGCGAAGTTTCGGTTATCGCGTTATGTCGGGGCAGACGTTTTATTGCGAGCTTTAGTGGTTTAAAATTAATGAAAATTAGCGTCGTGCGTTGAGACGAGGCGCGGCCTCCGAGAAGAAGCCATAGTCGCCAAGCCGTGTGACCGCGAAGGTTAACCTTTAGTGAAATACCGTGGCCTTAAAAGAATGTATATTAAGCGGCAAATGGGTCGCCGATGATAACGAGAATCGCAACAATTGTAAGAGGGAGAGAGAGAGAGAGAGAGAGAGAGAGAGAGATTTTATCAAAGCGAGCTTTATAGGTGGGCGAACGGAGGAAAAATCTCGCGGTGCACGGGTTAATCGCCGGTGTCGCCGTCTGCCGTATTAATCCGAATAAGCTGCGTGCGCGCGGCGGACTTGAGCGACGTGGGATTCGACCTCGTGTTATTGGTAAACGAGCGACACTCCTCGGTAGCAAGGATTATTGTTCGCGGGAGGTGTTAATACGCGGGCATGGAAATAATCGGCGGCACCTCGAGCACGCTGTCCAAGTGGCAGGTTGCTTTGATTGTCGGTGCGCCGGTCGTCCTGGGAATCGGTTATGTATACTTTAGGAATAAGGACACGTCGAAAAAGAAGCCGGGCAAGAGTAAAGAGAAAAAGCTAGCCACTCTGAACAAACAAGAAAAGCAGAAATCTCTTATAGAGTCGTCAAGAGTCTTTGATGAGGTTAGATTCCATAAATTTCATTGCGTAATAATCATTTTCTACTAATTCCCGTCCAATTATCAACTTTCCGTAACGTTTCGTAATCCATTAAGTCTCTATTCCTATCTCTGTAAGTCTGTCTGTCTGTCTGTCTCTCTCTCTCTCTCTCTCTCTCTCTCTCTCTCTCTCTTTCATTTTATTCTTATAGTGCTTAGAATCACATAAAAAAAAATGTATTTTTCCTTTAACTAGTTTACGATTTGATAAAAATATTTTATTTAAATATAAGATTCTTTCATTAATTATTTTTTGCGAACTTTTTATAATTGCCGGCACATTTTACCGACCTCACCCGTTATCTAATTTATAAGATCTTCTGTTTAAATTATTCATTGCGCACTCTTTAAATTGCAAAATCTTATAATTACCTGTAACAATGATAAATGAAAAATCTTTATAAATAAATGAATAAATAAATATATATATATATATATATATATATACACACATACATATGCGTACTAAAAATTATATGATTATTTAAGTAATTTAAATGATTATACGATAGCGTAACATTTCATTTTATAATTTGAATGTGAAGATGTATATTAAAAAAAAAAATAGATATCTTTTATAATTTCATAAACACGCATAATTTTTCTTTTCATCTTAATTTTATTTTTTTCTTATAGATAATTATTTGATGCATTTACTTTTTATTGATTAAAAGTGACTCTTATTTTATATTATTTCAATACAACTTTTCCAATATTACATTTTCCCATTATTGGCGTAGTTTTATTCCTCTAATAACTAAAATTTATTACTTTTCTGTATTGCAAATTGAACGATCTAATTATAATATGTATGAACGTATTTTTGTAAATAGACACCACTGGGACAGGCAAATGCATTCAAATCAAAGGGGAATCAATTTTTTAATATAGGAAAGTATGACGAAGCTATTTGTAATTATAATATGGCTATCGATACATGTCCAAAAGAAAATTCCGAAGAACTTGCCACATTCTATCAAAATCGAGCAGCGGCTTACGAGAAATTGGTAATTACTTCGATACATAAAGATTGAACTCCGTATATTGTTTACTTTACTTTATTCTAATACAAACTTTGTTTATAGCAAAAGTTTAGCGCAGTTAAGGCCGACTGTACTCAAGCACTCGAATTGAACCCTAAATATATTAAGGCTTTAACGCGTAGAGCAAGAGTCCTGGAATTATCTAATGATTTAGAGACAGCTTTAGAAGATATGACACTCGCTTATTTCCTGGAGAACTTTTCGAATGAAAGCACATTATGCGAAGCGGATAAAATATTAAGGAAACTTAGTAAGTAGTAAATCACTGATTAACTATTTCAATTTGAAGAAAAGTAACATACCCATTTCGTAAATTAATCACGTTTATTGGACTGAATTATTTTAAATACCCCTATTATCTTCCAACATATCAATATATAATTTTTAATAGATAGAATTATTATAAATTCAATGTGATTTAGTAACTTTTTACTTGAAAGCAATATTCGAAGAAACAATGTTTCTTTATATATATATATATGTTTGTTATTTTACTTTATACAGGTCTAAAGAATACACAGGAGTATGTGCAAAACAGAAAACCTCTTATGCCCAGTAAATACTTTATTAACAATTATTTGTCAGGCTTTAACAATGATCCTATTCTAAATGAAATGAAAACTTCATCGCTCGACGAGAGCACGTAAGTGTTTTCATGAAATTAATATAATTGAATTATAATAAAAATAAATATGATAAAAGTATTAAAACTAAGGAATTGTCATTGTCATTTTATTATTTAGGCCATATAACCGAGCATTATTAGCATTAAAGAATCAAGAATATGACAATATAATACCCCTCTGCACGGAAGCGTTAAATAATCTTAGCTCAGATGACGATTCATTGAACAAATTGAAAATTACTTTATTAAGAACCACATTTTATATACTTTGTCAAAATAATGAGGCTTTAGCCGAACTTAATACAATTATTGACAGCGATAAGTGCACTCCAGAACTGAAAGTCAATGCTTTAATTAAAAGAGCAAATTTGTATATACAACTTGACGATTTAAAAAGAAGTTTTGAAGATTTAACAGAAGCTGAAAAAATTGATCCACAGTGTGGTGACATTTATCACAATCGAGGACAGGTAAAATATACGATTCATTGTAGATAAAATATTAATAAAGGCAAATGTAATAATAATTAATGCAAAAGCAAGCACATTTACCGTATAGTAAGTGCAATTGTAGTCATTCAACTTACTGTCGTCGTCGGATGAATTTAAAATTTCATATTTACTTATAAAATGCAATAACGGTTATGAATTGCAAGAGCTACATAATGAATAATAATGTTATCATAATATTTTTATTTTTAGATTCATTTTGTTTTAGAAAATTTTAAAGAAGCAAGCAAGGACTTTAAAAGATCTGTAGAACTTAATCCAGATTTCGGTATAACATTTGCACAGAAATGTTACATGGATTATCATTACTCCAAATTGATATCCGATACGAATTTAGCGAAAGATGTAATAAGCGACTTCAAAGAATCATTTGAAAAATTTCCAGATTGCATACATTGCTATATTTTGTATGGCCAGGTAAATCATAAGCAAAAAAAAATTACAATTCTTATTTGAATTCATATTATAAGGTTGGCGAGTAATTTTTTCATTTTACATTATAGGCATTAATGACTGATAATGAATACGAAAAAGCAGATATGTACTTTACCGAAGCTTTAAAGATGGATCCTAACAATGCCACAGTTTATATATACAGAGGATTGATATGTTTGAGATGGAAAAATGATACTGAAAAAGCCATAGAGTTTATTCATAAAGCATTAGAATTTGATGACAAATGTGAATACGCATATGATGTTTTAGGCACAATGGAGGTTCAACGGTAAAAGCTTAAATTCTACAATATTTAAATTTAAAAATTTACCACAAATTGTTACTAATTAGGAAGAAACTTTTTATCTATTTCTTTTTTGTTTTGTTTGTAATGTAACTCAAATCAAATTATTTAACGAAAAATTTTCTATCTTACAGAGGAAACTTAAAATATGCAATAAGTCTTTTCGATAAAGCAATACCATTGGCACGTACTCTTCATGAAATAACACAAACTTTTAACTTACGGGATATTACCAAATCTCAGCTTATGGTGTCAGAAAGATTAGGAACTGGATTTGAGCACATAATCAAATTTTAAGATTATTAATTAAACAAAAAGGGAATAATGAAATTGCCAGAATAGCGACATTTACAAATGACATTTAATCAAGACGAGAAACTATTGAGAAAAAGTCGAAATAACGAATTACGATAAAATACTTCTTGTAAAATAAAATTTGTATTTAGCTGGTTTCTTAAATGAATTAATTGAATTGAAAATGGGGATGAAAAATTTAAACTGTCACTTGTAACGAAGATAATAGAATGTTTTATTTGTTATCAATCATTGTACTAATTAATTACAAAGGCATTTATTTTTGGTGTGACTAATCATTTTTATATCTTATAATTAATAGTTATTTTTTAATGCTTTAAGTGTACGAAATACTTCTAAATTATAATGAAAAATATAATTTTTCAAGATTAAAGCTACTGGATGATTTTAATAAAAATTCTGATATTTAATCGCCTATATGTTTTGTATATTAAATTATTCAAAATCTTCAAACAATTAAATATTCAGAAAATAAACAGTGATTCTTTACACTGTAAATCATCTAATAACTTGTTCAATTAGAATCGTGTACCGATAATTGAAAAATATTGAAATTAAATTACAATATAGTCCTGTATTGCGTCGTATTCAGATATAATTTGAAATAAATAAATTAATAATACTTTTAAAATTTGTTTTAATTTCGTGTATGAAATTACTAATAATTATAATATGTACAAATTTTGATGACTTGACATGATGTTTTACATTTTTACAGTTTTTATTACGAGTCTTATTATTATTATTATTATTATTATTATTATTATTATTTTATGTATTCTTTTTTTTCTATCATATTAATTTGTATCATATGTATGTATACATTGTAAACAGTTAATGAATTTCTATGAAAAACAAAAAAAAAAAAAAAAAAAAAAAAAAAAAAAAAAAAAAAAAAAAAAAAAAAAAAAAAAAAAAAAAAAAAAAAGAAAAGAAAAAAAAATACTACCTAATAATAACGTTAAATAATGTTAAATACTAACGGACTTAATAATAACATTTTTTATTAATATTTTTATACTTTAATAATGTTCATTTTATTATATAAATGTAATTTATTCAGAATTTTGAAGAAAAAAATCCACGTCCTTAATATAGCTTAAGTACTAGAAATATTCGATTATGTTTATATTAAATAAGTAAAATTAAAAAAAAAAAAAAAAAAAAAAAAAAAAAAAAACCATTAATTACAATTTATATTTTAAAAATTTCGAAAATTGAAAATACTTTAATGAATTTAACATTTGATAGTGAATTAAGTATTTTTTATAAATTAAATTTTATCTTATTTACTTTATTATTATTATTTTTCTTTTATTGAAGAGGCAGTTTGTTGACAATATTGTCGTATTAGTGGAGAGAAAATAGAATCGAGGATTTCGCGAGCTGTAAATTTATTATTTACATAATAATAATAAACGATGCGGTTAGTATCGTAGATCGTAGTATTACAAATAATGTACATTCAAATAAATTTTGCAATATAACGATAAATTTATAGTTACGCTATAAAATATAAATATGATTATGTATATATAAAATTTATTTAAGACAACAAAAAATGTGTACATATATACATTAAAGCATTTTAACGACAATTTCTGTGTTTTTAATTTCAATCTTAATACGAAAGTTTTATAAGAATAATGATATTTTACAAAATTTTAACATTACCATTTACAATACAATAGTATTCTATACAAATTGATTAAAATCTATCTGATCGAGTGTCTGTTCTATACATTTCCATCACAAAACATTGTTCCTTCACGTTCGTTGGAGAAAATGGATTAAATATTCCAAAGTGAAATTACACGATTAATTATTAACTTCAAGATAATCCATCAATCTCGTCATTACAACTTTTACATAATGACCACTCGATTAAGAAATTGTCTTTAGTGACGACGGTACTCCTTCAGACATCATAAAATATTGATGCCAATGGATACCTTATCACAAACGCCAACATTGTACCTGCAATCTAAAATATAAATCTTATGGAATAAATTTCAAGATATAAGACTATCGAAATTTTTATTGTTGTAACGAATAATAATATGTTTAATAATAATAACAACAACAATAACAACAACAACAACAACAACAACAACAACAGCCACGTTTTAGCCATTATAATTGTGTAATAGTGCGTATTTGCGAACTTAATAGCAGTTGAAAATTGTTTAAATATCGCGAAATTAAAATACCTGAATTATTAATAATATCTTGGTGAGAGTCGATTCTTTCAATGGTCCGAATAGTATAAGTACAAAATTTAATATCGTTAAATTGTTGCATGTGACTACGCCTTCGCTATCCTCCTGCCATTGGACGATCTTAAAAGCTTTGAATATGCTCATAATTAATTTACCTGTGAAAAAATAAAAAAAAAAAAGTATGTCAAAAATCAAATTTGAATTTGAATTCATGTGAAAATAGTAATTTGAGAATTTTATTGATAAAATAATACCTAAAATATTCAAATCATTTTTTCGAAAAACAGTTAGACTAGGATTTAGTTTATCTATTTCTGGATCGTATCTGCGAAGGAAAAACAACGTGTTATATTAAATTTGTAAAAGTAACTTGGAGATGAAATAAATTTTGTACAAAAAAAAAAAAACTTTGCACTTTCATCAATTATTTCACGACCAATAAAACTATACTAAACAATGTGCTTTTGAAAAACAAAAGAGAAAGAAAAACTTCGATACAACAATAATTTATAAGTAAATGAATTACGCATATTACCGCTTTTATTCGAAATACTTGATAATATTAATATAATAAAGAAAAAAAAAAAAAAAAAAAAAAAAAAAAAAAAAAAAAAAAAAAAAAAAAAAAAAAAATCGATGTTGGGCACGATTAATAGGCAAATAATTGCAAAACAATTATATAATATTTATTATAGTTTTTATTATAGTCGTGCGAATCGTTAAATAATTTTCAACGACGACGAGTAGAATAAATTTCACCTTGGCAGTCGATGACGGGGACAGGGCACAAAATGGAAGAGCTGGGGCACACTGTACAGGAAATTAAGTATTTGAGGAATAAAGAAGAGCAGCGTCGTTTTGCTGAAGTGGCCAATTATGCCAACCACCGCAAACGTCATTCCTGACAAGTAACAAAACGTGTCTCCGACAAAAACCTTCGATGGATACCTGAAATACAAAGATTGTAAGATCGTTCAATAGTTTATTCATTGGCGAATGAATACAATAAACACCGGATGAAGCTTTTTCATCTATATTATTAATCCTATATCCGATGTCCTTCTTTATTTATTTTCTTTAATAATATTAGCGGCTTAAAAGTACAATTAATCCGAATGCTCATAAGCCACGTGATTTTGAAAAACTTGAAAACCATCTGATTTTCTATTTGGGCCTCAATTTCCATTATAAAGAGAGCATTTTCTAAAGACCTATCGGCTCGCTGTAAAAGCCTTACTACTTCCTTACAAATTTCCTACGTTTCCTGCCTTCGTCATGAAATCTCTTCTTGCTTCTTCACTGTTTGCTGCTTATCAAAATTGATAAACATTTGTATATTTTTTTTAAAGAGCGGCTGACGAAAACACACGAAAGAGTATTTGCAACGAGAGTTTGCTTCAAAAGAAAATTCGTATTTAAAATTTTATTTAATCGCAGCTGCTAGTTTTCTTCTTCTTCTTCTTCTTCTTCTTCTTCAACGACTAACATTACAAATTATCAACTTAAAACAAGAAGTTTTTTCTTTTTAACGAATAAAAAATAGACGAATATTTAAAAAATGTGTAGGATATTTTATAAAACTAATTTTATCAACGTACATTTAAAATAAACGTTTTACAAATCGGACAATTAATTGTGTTAGAAAATGATCGATTAATAATTTAATGTAAAAGAAATCTTATTATAAAAGCAACATTTACTTGGATCAAATTTTAATACAAACGACCGTTATCTTAAATAAATTGATAATTCATTTTATATTCGTAATAATAAAATTCGCTTGGTTGATATGCCACTCGTGCCAATGGAAAATCGCGCGATTCATTTAATCAAAGCAAATATATAATCGTCAATTACAAGAATTGCGCATAATTCTATGGCTATTATATATATGTGTGTGTGTGTGTGTGTGTGCGTGTGTGTGTGTGTGTATATATATTTCAGTTAGATCCTCAGTAGTTAGATGGTACTCGGATTAGATCTCATAAGCGTAAACTGAAAATTTCCGAATTTTCATATTACTTCCTTGGCTTATTACTTTTAGGATCTTACTTTTAGGAAGAAAGCACGATAAAGAGTTATAGCTGGAGTTGCACGAGTATGGAAGAAAAACATCGGGGCGAGAGATAAAAGAATATTTTACCAGGTTGATGATGTAAGCACACCTTAGTTGTTACAAGGCTTGTGCGACAAAGCAAACGGTTGATATAGAAAATCTTAGGTCGAAGCAATGATCCGAGCTATCGGAGATTAAAATCTCAGTAAGGGTTAGTCCAGCCGAATGTACCTATGGGTGAGGGGTACGCGAATCTCGGATTCTTCCCCAATTTGGAAGGGCAGCGTTCACCTGTTACGCGCCGAGCAGATGTTCGCCGCGACCGAGATTTACCCAGGATGAATGCACACTCTGGCTTCTGTGGGAGTGGCGCGGGGTCGGGGGCGGCAGCGCGACGAGCTGCGCGAGGGTTCGGCTGCGTGTGGGGGAGGAGGAGGGGGTGCGGAGAGCAGCAGAGGGTCGGGCAGCTGTTCGGCTCCGGGCACAGTGGCGGCAGTGCGTCGCGACGAGCGGGAACTCGTGGTGGTGGTGAGCCGTTGTTCCGGGCGCACGTGCGAGCCGATTGGCCGATCGGTATCGCCGCGATCGCTCGACCTCTTGGAACCGCGCTTGGACACGACCTCGAGGAGGTTAGTGAACGCCCTGTCCTCGGCATAATAACATAGTTCGATGCTTCTCGTCGATGTGCATGTGTTACCTAGGCCGATGCCAAAAATATTTAGCCACGTACGGGCTGGTGCAATTTACTTTATCGAGTGAGAGAGAGAGAGAGAGAGAGAGAGAGAGAGAGAGAGAGAGAGAGAGAGAGAGTTTTGGTGGGTTTCGAGGGTCGACGATCGAGTTTCATCGGTCCTTTGACATTAATAATGTGCTTGCGATGTTAGGCATATGGACCATTCGGCCTCGCGCAAATACAAGTGAAATGCAATTTACAATCAAAGAACGATACTTTATTAATTCTCGTAAAAATTAATATGGAACGAGTCAACCAAATGGAACGGTAATTTTATGGACGATTACGTAACACAGAAATGCCATGGAGCCTCTCTACAAAAGAAGTACAGATAAACAACATTAAACTATTTACATAAATCTACCGCTCGTTTTACACTCATGCGGAATCTATCTTGAATGTTTAATTTAACTATTCTGATAGTTGAATAGTCATTCGTAACACTGAAAACTCTTATGTTCGTTTAACATTAATAATATTAAACACTTTTTTCTATTATTATTATTATTATTATTATTATTATTATTATTATTATTATTATTATTATTATATATTGTTAAAAATATTTTTATGCCTTTAAAAGCGCTTGTTTTCAAGGCAAAGAAAAATTTCGAATTTCATTTTGCAATTATCTATATATTTCACTTTTAACTTTTAGTCATAAAATAAAAGATAAAATAACGTAAGAAATAACCAATATCTCATTTATACCAAGGACTTGCAGTACTTCGAATATTTAATCTAATTAAATATTAAAATTATTTTCTCTATGTATGTGCGTGCGCGTGCGCGTGTGCGTGAAAATTCATTTATAGATAAAAATGTAATAATTATAAAGTTTTAATACGAATATTTGTAAAAATATCGATAGAAATTTTTTCACTCTGACTTCAGCATAATAATTTTAGGTGGTCAGTTTCCCATAACATACAGTTGCTAACTCAATATGGATTTTGACTTTTAATGAACTTGAAACAACGCGATTCGAACTTCATTCGAACAACTAAATTCTGTGCATTTCGAAATTAAATGTCACATAATCCATCGTGCTACCTTTATCTTTCCTTTTCTTACGATATTAATTTATAATTATCAATAATTATAAATTTATTAATTAAAGTAAATTATCTGTTTAATAATTAATTTATCGATTATAATGTTATCTATTTGTTATGAAATTAATTTTAAGTGTCTAAATAATGAATTAGAATTTTACACTGGAAAATTTGCTGCAATTTAATGTACATCGTTCAATTTTGGAATATCATTAATAGAAATGAAAAAGGACAAGAAAAATGAAGAAAACAAAATAATAACTTCATATCCGCATGAAATTAGCTTAATATTTCAATCTCAGTGATATAGAAAAAACTTTTTGACTTTATTTTAAAGTTTAAAATAGCGAAAAGGGAGAGTTGTCGGATGCTACCAAATTCTCTCAACAGATGTTATATTCTTACACATTCTCTAATGTTCCAGATTTATGTTTTAAATACTGAAAATTTAGCGATAAAATATGTGCGTAGCAGTTAGTCGAGTAAGAAGAACAATTTGATATCCTACATTTTATGCTCAGCACATTGCATCTAAAAATTTTTCTAAATATTACATTAAGATTTTCAAGTTTCCCAACTCAAGCACTTTAATGCAACAATGAAATAAAATTACGTCACTCAAGGCTCTCGGAGTTCTCAACTTTAATACACATGTCAGCTCAACATAATAATAATAAATGCAGTTTACTGGGAAAAACGACGTGGCGCGAGCATTGACTCATAAATGACATTAATTCTCATAAACAATTTTATTTGAAGAGTTAGAGGAAGCGCACTTGTGTTTGCAAAAGAAAAGAAATGCCGATCTGCGTGAATGGAATTTAATGACAAGAAATATTAATGCATTATCGCTCCATTACTAACGTGTAACAATGAGAATGACGACACTGTAGAGGCCAATTTTTTTTACAAATACACATCAATTCCTTCATTATACTTTAATATATAGCTAATGAGCAATAATTTATTAACAAATTGCGTATAAACCAATGCTCGCGAAGAGTATACAATTAAATTATACCAGAATACCTTTTATTTACGAAGGATCATTAATGTCGGATTGGTATAGGCATTTTACTCGGAACGAATATGAAATTCCCGACCGATTCAATTTAAATTCAATTCAAATGGAAATGTGACTTTATGTACGTGTATATCTAATAATTCCAAACTCATAAAATACTTTTTTTTTTTTTAAATCATTAAGGTTTTCCTTTTACAGATGAACATATTTTCCTCACCTCCTCCATCTCTAAAATTTCAACATGATTTTCAACCTTAACACGCACGCGCACATTTCTATATTTACTATCATCTATCAACTGCAATACATTTTCCGGAAACTGGCTTTTTCTTCATTCCGATAACGCATTGTAAGGAAGAAGAAAAATAGACAGATAAAGAATGAAAAAGGAAAAAATAATGCTTAAAACTTGTCTTTTCAAAGTAGTAAAATTTGAAAGTACAAGAGATATATCTCTCGTCCAGCAACGGAAGGAGAGAAACTCTTTGAACTCCTCTAGATCATTATTAAAATGTTTTTCAATAGCAGTAGTCATTGCTCGGCTCGTTATTCCCGTCCACAAGTGTCGCAATAAGTGTCGCTTGGTGTATAAAAATTACGAGCCAATAACCGTAAAAACGAAAAATTAGCGCTTTACGAGCTCATACATACACATATATGTTTTCTGGTCTTTCACACTCGACTTTCATTGGATAAGCCATTGGAAGTAATTTTGTGAAGGAAAGCAGCCGAGGATGGGCTCGCAAAAACTATTTGCCCGAAGCATGCAAGCGATTCCCTTTTGACTCGTAGCCCGAGAAAAAACAGCATCATCTCACGTACCCTCGACCGCGACCGGCCGTTTCCTCCTTCGCGCTCGGTCGTCCTTAGGCGATTTCCGGCCGTGCGCGACTACTCCTATTATCACGGCTCCCCTCCTGCCGCTGCTCCCGAGAGTATCAGGGCCCCCCGAAGATATCAACTAGGATCGCTTATAAAAAAGACCGTCCCCGTAAATTCCCCCCCCCCCTCTCTCTCTCTCTCTCTTGTAACCCTACCTCTCGTTACCAAGCATCGCGAACGATGTCAAAGCACTCGCTC